ATTTTATTAAATAATTTAAAAAACATCAAATTTTAAGCCATCCTTTCTGTGAAATTGATTTGTATTCTTCTAACAATCACGTTAAATTTTAGAAAATTCGAGAGAGAAGTAATAGTTCAAAATATAGTAATACGTCGCAGATTTTTAATTTTCAAATAAATAATCGTTATTAAATATAATACGTTATTATATTTATATAAATAAATATCATTCGAAATAATTATTTTGGGCGTTTTTTGCATTAATAAACATCTTTTTTTTTAAGTTAACCAATGAGTAGTGTAAAATCAGCGTATAAAACAACTTTAAGATATTTTTAAGAGTTTTTTTGAGAAACATCTTCAAGATATTTCATAAAGAACTTTGAAAAATATCTTAAAGCTGTCTTATGTGTCGATTTTTATCCACTTATTCGACAATTTGTAGAAATTAATCTCGTTTATATATGAGTAACTACACTTGTTTACAGAACATTACTTCGCATGGGATTAAATTTTTGAATGTTAAAAACGAAGCCAAAATTTCGACGTTAAGTTTCCAACATAATTTTAATGTTTAAAAAATGACTTTTTTTACGACATTTAACATTCTTTCATAAAGAAAATTAACGTTATTTTGAATTATTAAAATTTGTTGTTATGATGAATCTATTGTTCATGCATTCCTAAAATACATATTTTTAAATTTCAATACCTTATATACTTTGTAGTTATACAATGAAGAATTTAAATACAGGATTTTTCTGAGATACAAATTTGTGGCTATCGAGAAACATATAATTTTTTTTTTAGAAATCTGTACGCGTGCGCGTGTATGTGTGGTGTGTACTATACGTATATATGTGTGCACACACGCACGCATATATGTGTATGTATATATATATATATATATATATATAGAGCGGAATCTATAACGATAAATTATATTGTGTGTATCGATAGTCACGAACTAGAAATTATAAATACTTGAATCCTTCATAACCTGACTAAAAAGTAAGATATTGAAATAAAAAGCATACATTTTGTAGAAGATGAATAATACATTCATGACTTCTGATTACAATTTCGAGATAACGTTAATTTTTTTTTACAAGAATATTTTAAATATAACAAAAGAGCCACATGTACATTAAATCTCAGTAATTTCGAAAACCTGAAGTGCTAGTGAAATTTAACTTGCGACAATGTTTTCAGCCAAAAATCTATAAAAACACCTTATTTGATTAAAAGAAACATTTTTTTGTAAATTAATATTATCTTTATTCATAGTTTGTGAATGTAGCACTAAATCCATTTATCGACACTACGATTTTATCGACAGTGGCGAAAATTGATGTGATACGTAGTTCACATCAATTTATAAAATTGATGTTGATGCCGTTAGCATACGGTGACTTTCGCTTGTCACGCGAGAAAGGCCGCCCTCTCAGGTTTCGCTCTGCTATCGCTATTCCTTCGCATTATATCTATGTATAATATCATGATGTACCTAAACAGTATGCAGTATAGATACAATGTACTATAATATCATGTACACTTTTTGTACTGCTACCATATAGGCCGGTATTCATAGTAGAGTTTTATTTCAAGTCTTAAGTAATGTAATGTCTGACGCTAATGCAGCCTTCTGATTGGTTCGTAACTTCTTAAGACTGTACTTAAGACGGTTTTGAATATAAGATCTGATTATGAATACCGGCCATAATTACGCCGTACATCTCGACAGTACAGTAACAGTATGGTAGCGGTATTTTTTACGGACATCGTAGGATATCGTATGCTTGGTTATCTAAGATAATATTTTACTAGTGAAAATTGTATCACAGATCAATAATAAAATCTTCATTAGTAAAATATTGCCATTGGTAAAATTCCATTGAAAGCACCACTGAATTTGTATAAATGAGTAGCTTTCAATGCGAATGATATTCCTATTGACAATAATCCAATGGCAAAATATATCACTGATCGAATGATATTCCTATTGATATATATTTAATAGTAACTAATATACCATTAATCAAATGATATTCTTATTGGACTACATTCAATGATAAAATATTTTATCATTGACTGAATGATTTTCTTATTGAACGCTTCAAATAGTAAAATTATTCAATAATGATAATGCCGTTGAGTCCGTATAATTTTATCATTAGTTAGTTCAAATGATTTTACTATTGATCTGAATAATAATACCATTAACACTTTTTGCGATGGAAAAACAGAATATTTTATAGTTATTTCCATTGAAACATTGAAATATATATGCATATTTATGAAAATTGATGAACAAATGTAGGAATACCTAATCAAAAAGAATTAAAGTAAAATATAATTTGATATATTTGTATGTAAATTATTATATATCCTAAAATTCATTACAATTAGTACAAAATAATATAAGTTGCATTCTATGTGAAAGAATTTAAATTAATAATTTCAATAAATAATAATAAGTTGTGGGAGAAAATTAGTATTAATAATTTCAATTTATATATATATGAATATAT